GTGCTGTATTAAAAGCCAAGCAAAACAAAAATCCTCTCTTAGCACAGAACATTGTTGTTCAGTAATACTTCTGATCCTGAAGATTTCCTCAAAGCTGTGGGGAAGCATTCTGTGAATATGGACCCTATTGTCAACAGAACTATGTTTCTCCAGGGCACGGAATACAACTTGAATCTTTTGTACTGAGCAGTAATTTTAACATGCACTAAATACCTAGTGCATTCTTCAGGGGGAAATGGCATTGTCCAGTGCTGCTGATGGTTTAAGCAGAGTTGTTTCATGCCTGTCTTAGTCTCTTATGATAGCTCATCCTTCTTCAAGAAGTCTAATTGGTTGTTTTCTTCTGTCCTTTCTTTTTTTTACTTTGTTTGTTTGTTTGTTTGTTTGTTTTGAGGCAGGTGTCTCACTCAGTAACCCAGGCTTTCCCAGAACTCACTCTGTAACCCAGCCTGACCTCCAATTCATGGAAATCCTCCTGCCTCAGCCTCCCAGCTGTTAGAGTTATAGGGATGGAGTATAATTTTCAGTGATGCAAACCAAACACATATCTTTCACCTTGAGAGCAAACAATCAACTGGGGAGATTTGTCACTAATGTCTAGGACAATAGAAAAGCAAGCACTTTACAATCTGCCCTTTTTTCCTTCTCTGGGAGAGCTGTGGACCTGTTCCCAGCCAGGTGTGTGTAGTCTCCTTGGATGCTCTACTTTGCATTAAAGAAGCTGTCTTCCCCAGCACTTTAGACAACTGAATTGTAGGGGCTGATTTTTTTCTTTGCGCTCAAACAGCATCTAATACGAGCCAAATCTCAGGTTAATCTTTGCATTGTTGTTCTACTCCAAACTACAGTAATCCTCCATGATTGACAGACTCCTCAGTCACTGCTTTCTCCAAGCTCCAGCGCACAGGGACTGACCCAGACCCTCTCCTAGCCAGACTGGTAGCAGCTGTCCTGGTGCTGCCCTGGGGGACGGGGGCTGGAAATGTGAGCCCTTGATCAGGCGTCAAACCCCACACTCAGTATGTTTCTGAACATTAAATGAAAATGAAACATGGAAATTGGAGGTTTGCACTCAAATCCTTGTAGTTATAGATATTTCCATGCAAAGCCCTTGGGCCTGGTTATAGTAGCCATGTCAAAGAACATTTAATGTCAGCATGCCCTGATTTAGAACTTCTAGGAAAAAGAGGGAAAGTTTCAGGTGCCCCTGGGATAATACCTGCCAAGGTATCAGGACACTCCCCCTGGTCTCAGGTCTGCTCTCTGCCACGTGGGACAGGTGGCATCCAGGTCGAAGGGGATGAGGACCACAGACCTGGTAATGCTAAGGTCTGGCTTCTGAGAGCAGCCTGTGTGTCTTCATTTGCATAGGAAATTGACATACAGGTTACAGAATCTTGAGTTTCATCTTCTAAGGAGATCACAGAACGGAGTGCAAGGTCAGACTGGCATGAAATCAATTGTAATCTGCCAGCAAGCCATTCAGACCTCTTTAAGAGTTTCCTTTTATATTCCTCCCTTTATAGACAGAGGAAAAGTACATTTAAGGAATGTCTCATCAAATCAGAATGTCTTCCTAAAATTATTTTTTTAATTGGTTGCTACTATAGTGTGCCCTGTGCCCTCCTGGTATTTAACCCTCTGTGCAGCTTTGACTAATGAACAAATTGTGTCAGCTGTAGCAGTCTTGCTAAGTGTATCATAGAGGGTTTAAAAGAGATTACAGTGTATTATGAAAACCTCAGATCTTTCCACCTAACTGATTGGCTGTTGCTGATGCCAGCACGACCAGTGCAATGTTCCTTAAGTGCACAGGCCTAACTCTTTTTCTTATTTTTATATAGCAGTTCCATTTTATAATGACATTAAGCCATTCTGAGCAATTTATGTCACTGGACAGTTATTGCAATTGGGTAGAAAGCGTCATCTGGCTTTTAGCCTTGTGCCCAACGACACCAACCGAGGCGTAAAATGATCCCCCAGAAAATGTACGAGGCTTTACCTCATTACTTAAAGATAAATCTTGGAGTCTGATTCTGTTTCAGAGAAGATTTGGTAAGTTATAGCATTTGATTTATGAACATAATTAAAATATAAATGACGAGCTCTGGCTCTTCAGTCAACCATCTGGATGATTTGACATTTGGACATCCTCCTGTTGTAGCCAGGGTCTTCTCTGGGAGCACTTAATGCCCCTGAGGCATCACTAGAAGCCCCAAGTCTCTGTCCCACCTGTTGAAGATCCTTAAGTTTCTCAGTTAGGGCACTGAAAGGGGAAGAAATTTACCTTTACGTTTCCTATCTCTTGAGGGAGAGCTCTTAGTGCTGGGGCCTCTGTTTGTTATATAGAGTATGAAGATAGCTCAGCTGCCTGTGGCCAGATAATATGCCCATAAATACTGCGTATGTCAATGGAAAATGACCTTTTCTATATAATACAAGCAAAATTGATGTGCACTTTTCCTGCCAGCCATTAAGGTAACTGTTGCAGCTGTGGCCACACATAACATGGTAGAAGCTTCCCCAGGGCCCTGGACCATAATTAGAGGAAAAAAAATCAGTTATCAAAACTGAAGGTGTAGCTTTTGTGGCTTAAAATACAGATTTTCGGTATGGCAGCCCCTTCACATATTCTTCCTGATTGGTGTGTGATTGATAACTGGTACAGATGTTTTAAAAAGTATTTAACAAAAACAAACTCACAGGTGCCAAAGAGACAGAGTGGATTAGAACTTTCATGCCCTCTTATTACTGACAGAAGTTGAGCATGGAAAGACCTGAGTGCATTCTCTGAAAATTCTCTCTTCCAGTTTGCTTGTAAATTACAAGGAGGAGAGAAACAATAGAAAATTTGCATGCAGACCACCAAGCATAGACCAGCAACTACAGACCAGAAAGAAAGAACAGCAAGCACACATCAGTAGGCACAAACCAGCCAGTGCAGACCGAGAGGGCAAGAAACATCCTTTGTCAAGCACAGCTACCAGGTGCAGATCAGCTGCCGTTCTCCTTAATAAACAGGCTGACGTCAGCAGTGCGTGAAAATTAACCTGTAAACCAACAGTCAGTTGTTGCTTAGACTTGGGGCTCTACGTTGATGTCAGAAGTCCCCTAAAGCAAGAGTGCTTGGAAGCTGTTTGGTTTCTGAGTATGAATTACTAGACAGGTCTTTCGTTATCTGTGTCATAACCTCATATTCATTTTTCTTTCTCCTTTTAAAACACAGATTCTGTCAAATAGCAATGCGCCAGGCAGAAGAACTTGTATCACTAAAAGTAACAGTCACGCTGTACACTTCAGGGTTCTGTTTAGTCTGAGGTATGATCTAAACGTGGGTGTCCAGGAGCCCTTGCTTCAGCCCCGGAGCCAGTGCTAGTCAAGGTCACCTGTTTACTCTATGCAAATAGTTCCTTCTTTCTCTGATAACAGTTATCAGGGACCTCAACATTCTAAGTCCAAGAAAGGGACTATGTCACTTGCAGTGGCCATCTGGAGCTTCTGTCATCTTTATGTTCTCTGACAAGTGATATTGTTCCTCAGAAAGCAGCACCGGTCCCAGTCAGTGGGCAGTGCACACTGGTGGGTGTTCGGGGGCCTCTCTTAAAAGGACCATAATATCTTGGGTTCTTAGTGACATAGCAGAAGGCATGTGGTGTAGGATCAAGACTAAAATTCATCTGGCAACAGCTGTCCTAGGCAAGCTGTCCCCCACATGATGACTTCCCTGTGCAGCAGCCATAGCTGCATGGGGGGTGGGGTGAGGTTGGCAGAGCCTGGCCGTATTTCTGTCTTCTCTTGTATTCCATAGGAAGAATACTGATGAGCTCACTACTTGTGAAAGGCCAAGGGGCTGTTGTTTAGGTGGTGTGATTCTGTGAGAAAGTAAAACTATGGTAATTGTTTTGACCTCCGAGACAACTAATGCCTGCCCTCTCACACTTGGTACTCTTGGGTCCGTTTCCAAAAATACACATTTACAGAGCCACAGAATTAAATAAGAAGCATAGGAAAATATATCCAATTCCACTCAGGTTCTATTTATAAATGCCTTTGTGTATCCACCCATGTTGATTCTAAGTACTTCTGCTTCCGTCCCTGTTCCCTGAACCCCTCCATCATTCATCTCTGATACCCACACGTGCCCTCACCAGCAATCACAGCTTTAAGCCAATGAGGGAAATAAAAACAACTCGTGTCGCTTTCTCGGATGCACAGTCGTGTTAGAAAGATATACTCAGCTTTAATTGTGGACCGCCATTGAGAAATGCACTTCAGAATCAGAACTCTCCCCCACACTCTTCCATGGTGCTGTCTGGTATTGTGTTATCTCTGAGACCTTCAACTAAGTACATCACTCTATGGGTACCAAAGTTGTCATCATTAACACTCTTGCTTACTCTGTGGTTGCATGGTTCCTCAGATAATGGGCTGTGGATGACTGTCAGTTCCCTTTCCTCTGTGTTTATGCCAGGATGGTTTTCTTTGGGACCACCCATCTCTCCTGGATCTTTTCTTCATAAAGCTGTTTGAGTGGAATTCGGGAAACAGTTTGATAGAAAGAGCATAGAAGAGACAACTTATTAATATGCAGTGTCAAAACACATTGTCACATGGTAATATGTGATATATGGTAAAATGTATCAATTTTGAGCACCACAAAAATCTTCAGCTTCACCTCAGCATGCAGGCAAATGAGTTTCCCTTAGCTTGACTGAATTTAGAGATAAACTTCAGTGTAACAGAATGTTTTTCACAGAAATTGTTTGATGTGCCACAGTTGGCTTATGAATCTCTTATCTATTCAAGGTTCACTCCTTAGAGTTATAAGTCAATTTAATGTGAACAAATGCCAGGATTACTAACTAATTAGAAGGATGTTGCTGAAGGCACGTGGATGGGGACAGAGTAAGAGCTGGCGGTGTGGGGTTTGGGACAGGATGTGGCTCTGATCTGCCTGATGCTATCGTTTGCTAAACATTATGCTTTGTGTTGTCGCACAGATAAACCGCAAGTGCATATCCAGATGACTTACCCTCTACAAGGCCTAACCCGGGAAGGGGATGCGCTTGAGTTAACGTGTGAAGCCATCGGGAAGCCCCAGTAAGTTCTGAAGGCCAAAGTTGGCAGAGAGTCGTGAGCAGTAAATGTCACAACATGAAGTTGTGCATTCACAACTCATTGGCCTGTCACCTGTCTCCTGCTGTAAAAAGGATGGGTGATCTTTCAGAAACTGAAGAGTATCCAATGACAGGGGAATAAATATCAATGATTCTTACTAGTTAGGATTAGGAGGGACTGCCTTCCTAATCTAAAATTCTAGTGAATTCTGTCTGTTTTATTATCATTAACAGGCTGGTTGGGACTATTTTCTCTTACATAAAATGTCAACATACTGGGCCTGGAGAGATGGCTCAGCAATTAAGAGCTCTTACTGCTTGTGTAGAAGATCTAAGTTTGCTCCCCAGCACCCCAGTCAGGTGCCTCACCGCAGACATACCCCTCCATCTCCAGGGGTCCAACGTCCTCCTCTGGCCTCCACAGATACCCACATATGCATACACACACACAAATAAAAGTTGACTAAAATGTCAGTATATTCTCAGTGCAATAGAGCGTCTGCTAACAGCGATGTTCTTGCTACAGCTGGAAGGTAAGGTTTCCTAGACTCCGAAGAGCTGAGATTACGGCCAGATGTAGACAAAGGAATTTGCTCCCAAGAAAAGCATGGTACTCAACTGAGAGATGTAGGGATGCTCCCCAAGGAGAGTGTGACTGCTGTGCCTAGAAGGGAAGGAGGGCTGGCAGCCTTGTGTTGCTGAGGAGTGTGGTGGAGCTGCTCTGCTCACCCCACACAGTAATCCAGTGTGAGTCAGAAGAGCAGCGTGGACCACCACTACCACAGCCAACAAGCCTTGAGGCTGTGCTACTGCAAGTACCTCACAGTCTACTTAGACTGGAAGAGAGCCTTTCCTCTTTCTAGTAAAACAAATTGTCTTTAACTGTTTTTAAGGGAGAAAGAATCCTAATTCACAGACTCATGACGTGGAGGTCAGGTCAAGCTGGGATTAAGGTTACTCAAACTTTTAGAGTTAACTAACTGGAAAAACAGCAGTGAGCTCCCTCTGCTGTCGCTGTGGCATGATTTCCTTCTTTCTTTTTTCTTTTTTTCTCACAGTTCAGGTAAGCAGCATCTTCATTCCCTCCTAATCCTCAGAGAGATCCAAAAATGCACTGTGTTAGAGAGGAGCTTGGCTCTGACCAGTCCCTTTGCCTGTTTTCACTCTTCTTTATCCATGGGCTGGAGCCTTCCCTCTGCAGGCAGAGGGCAAGCTAGAAAGATAACCTTTGGAGGGGGTGGATCTGGTTGTGGTTTGCTTCTTCTCTGGTGCTGATGGCTTATTTGATCCCAGCTTTGACAGAGCAGTCTTTTTCTCTTTTTAATCCTTCAAAAAGATTCAGATCATTTTTTTTATAAACTGATTTATGCCCTAATTAGAAGCTTTTCTTGTCTCCCAAACAATCCCATGGACGGAGGGGATCCCTTCTCAGGGCCTCTGACTGTTTACAGCAACTATATTCAACCACAAAAGTCACATTTATGCTAGTTTGCTTGCTAACCTATATTTTGTGTCTGTAATTTTTTTTTTCTCCTGAAGAAGGTACTATGTTCGTTTGCCTGTGCCACAGGGACAGTAAATTACACGCTTCCTTCAGGACATTTTTGCCAGAGAGGGTATTTGTTCACTCCTCTCAAATTGGAAAGGGCACGTGTCTGTGCGAGCAAGCAGGAATTACTCTGTGACTATCCCCCCTCGCGTATTACCTATTTATTTTCTCAAGAAATTGTATGCAATAAAAATGGTAATTTAACTTGCCATTAAATGTTGTGAATATCTCAGTGCTTACCCCCACTGATTGTTTCAGCTGTCAAGCAGCAGAACGAGAAGCCTGGTTGCCAGGCAGCCCCATTTTCCACTGCCCACAAGGAGGACATATGCACTGCTAACTGCAATAATTCACCGCATTCTGATGACAAACCTTTATGCAATTAAAGAGAATTGTAACTTCACATCTCATCTGAACAGTGGAAGGCTACTCCACAGGCCTCACTTGCGTATCTGTTTGTCATTAATACCTGGGTCTTTGCCCATGTCACTGCTCCTAGAGGTAGTAGTAGGGACCAAGAAGAAACTGCTTATGTGTTCAGGCCAGTAGCATCCTTTCTGTCAAATAAAAATCAGGACTGAGGATATAACTTGGGGGTAAGTGCCTGCCTAGCATCCACCAGGCCCTGGGTTCTGTCTCTAGAATCATACACACCACACAAAAGTGATTTTCAGACACTCGAGGTATACCCTTGGTTTTGTAGGAGGATGAAAAAGGCACCTTGAAGAACCCAGGTTTCAAGTTCAGTGAGTCAACAATGTTTGGTGTGTGCGCACTCTTGTCTCTAGGGCGTCTTGGCAAATTTGCTTTTCCCTAATGGCTGTTGTAAGATATGTGTGGTATTTTAAGTCACTAAAGCTTGTTTTTGATAAGCAAGTTCCTTTGTTGGGCCTAAAGAGAGTATTTTTAGATGTGTTCATTCGTCGTTAATCCAAGAGCCAAATGCACTCACAGGGAAGGCCCAGCTATATCTGGGCCTAGAGAAACTAATAGAGAGGGCCAGTTACTGGCCAGGGGCAGGTAGAGAAGGTAGACAGAGCCATTCACGTGGCATCTCAGGTGTGAAGAGTGAGTCAGGCTAAGGGGAGAGGAAGTGATTGGATCTTTCCAGAATCAAAGGTAATTTTTCCAAACACAGATCAACACAAAGCTCTGTTCAAGCCAGGGCTGTAATCCCAGCTGCCCTGGAAGCAGTCAAGAGACACAGTGTGGCCCAGACCTGTAATCCCAGCTGCCCTGGAAGCAATCAGGGGACTTTCTACAGTTTCAAGGTCAGCTCGGTCTCCATACCAAGTTTCAGACCAGCAGGGCAACCTTGAGAGCAAATAGTAATCAAAACAGGTCAAGGCTATAACCCAGTGGTAGAGCTAGCGTGTGCTGCAGTGCCTAGGTGGGAAGGAGGGCTGGCAGCCTTGTGTTGCTGAGGACTGTGGTGGAAATGTTCCTCCCTAGTGTAAGGGAGGGACACAGTGAGGGCCGTTAGGGTATCAAAGTCCATTTAAAACTCACACGTGCCTTCTGAGCAAGCAAACATTTGCTGTAGTAGTAACCATTGGGTTGATGCATGCATCAGTAGCGAAGACCTTGCTTTTCTTCTCCTCTCTAATTATTGAGATGACTCACAGTGGGTGAGCTCTGGCTTGCCTGGACTGGTGTGAAACTGCACAGCGGGGCATGGGAGCTGGACACATTGGCTTGTTTGCTGACTTACTGAAGATGACTTAGAAATCATAAGACTCCTGCTTATTATCAAGTCTTGAAAGTTTATCAGTGCCTGATTTTGTCTTTTAAGAATTATATTGTAGACATGTTTGGCTGTTGCATAGGCTTAGTTTTGTGAATGTAACATCTCTCGCGCGGGTCCTGTTACTTGCATCACCCTGCATGGGATTTGCTGTATGAGTCAGAAACTGGATACAGATACCTTAGTGGGAAATGACTCTCTGACCTGTCTTTCTTGCCTTCCCACAGGCCTGTGATGGTAACTTGGGTGAGAGTCGATGATGAAATGCCTCAGCATGCCGTACTGTCTGGGCCAAACCTGTTCATCAATAACCTAAACAAAACAGATAATGGTACTTACCGCTGTGAGGCGTCCAACACAGTGGGGAAAGCTCACTCGGACTATATGCTGTATGTATACGGTACGTGAGAAGATAAAGCGCTCGCCCACTAACTCCTCTGCATGTAACTGCTGCCTGGGCTTCACCCCAAAGCCTCTGGTCAAGTTGAAAACCAAAAAGCTCAGTTGGTATCCTTCAGGAACTTAAAGATGCCTGGCCTGAGGTGGACCCCAGTAGTCCCCACCTGGGTCGACAGTGACTGTTCTTCTCTCCCTCTGATCATAGGGGTTTCCCACAAGATCGTAGTCTCTGGTCATGCTGAGTAGGAAGGCTGTCCTGAGGCACAGGCCATGGAGATTACCTTAGAAGTAGTGTCTGAAAAATTCAACCTTACTAGTTAGTGGCGTTCAGCTGAAAAGTTTATTCCCAGTGGTTTTTTTCCTATGAGGCCTGGGCTAGCCTGCTTTGATGAGCAGAGCTATCTTCTTTTCAACATGGAGCCATTAAATACAGAAGACTCTGCAAGCCAGTAAACAACACTCAAATAAATATAAGGTTCTTGGTAGTTTCTAAGGCTACCTACACCTTCTGTTTTAGACACACATGCCAACTTTTAAAATATGTAATGTTTTTTTTTCTTAACATCTTTCTACAGGGCTATTAAAGCATAGTATCCTTAATTTCATTTTGGAATCAACAGATATGTATGGAACACCTATGGTGCTAGGCGTTTCCCATTTATAGCTTGTTGGTGGCTTTATATACTGTGACTATGCTCTATGTAGTTGAGAAGTACACTCTCTGTATAGTCTTCTGCTACCAAATTGAGTCTCTTCTGTCCAATTGAACTCCCTTCATTCTATACCAAGAAAAAGTCATGCTCTGGCCCAACACAAAATGAGTACCCAGAAGCAAAAGCAAAATCCTAATGTCATAAATGTTTGAATATGGAGACCACATGTCTGCCTTCTTATTAGCTTTGTAAATAATCCAAGTTAAGTTACATGTGTATGGATATAGGCATATTCACATACATTATACATATGGAATAATATTTACACTGCACGGTCTCCTTATGAAGGAAGAAAAGGGAGAGGTATGTTTGAACAGAGAAACATCTTTTATACCATACCTACATGAATGTGAAATTATAATCCTTAGCCTATACTTGAGGATTTTTTCCCTTAGCACAATGATTCTCAACCTTCCAATGCTGCGACCCTATCCTCATGTTGTGGTGACTCCCAACCATAAAGTTCTTTTGTTGCTACTTCATATTATAAATTTTAATAATATACAGATCTGATATGCGACCCCAAAGAGGTCGTGACCCACAGGTTGAGAACCACTACCTTAACATAATGCAAAATTAAAGGATCCTACCAAATTCCTGTATTAGCAAACGTCTAGTCTTTGTCCAGTCTCATCAGTGATCCATACACAGCTATGTTCTCCTGGGTAGTTAAGGAAATGCACAAATCTCCTTCTCTGCTGTGTAGATGAGAAGGGGTACAAGGTACCCAGCTTCAGCTGGGTTGCACTATCTGGCCAGGATGGAAGATACATTCCTTTCTGTGCTTTGCATATACCCATTTCACTCTGAGTAGTAGCGCCATGTAGCCCTATGGGAACACCTCTGACATTAGTGCCCAAGTTTATAGACATCAGTGTAGCTCTTTTGACAGACTCCATCCACGTTCTCTCAGTCTTTGATGCACTCTGGAGACTAGATTATCTGGAAAAACAGTTCAGCTTACAGTACCTACGGTTCCTACAGCTCAAGAGGAGAAGCATTTTCGAGGCCTTGTTGGGCAAACATATTTGCATAATTTGGAAAATTAGCTTATAACCAGCGTGTGTTGAGCGTTCCCTTCATGCTGTTTCTGACATTGACAGTTTTACACGATCTCATCTGATGTCCACAACACCACCATGAGATGTGCCTATTTTCTGTCCCATTTGACATACAACACAATGAAGCTTCAAACGATCGTACAGTGTGGTCTACTTCACAATGTCCCCAGACCGCTTAAGGCCTCTGTACTGTGAAACCAGTCTTTGCAGTGTCCCTTATTCTCACAGCTTTTCAAGAAACCAAGTCTCTTTAAAACAAGATCAGTCTTTTTAGATTAGCCCCCAGATATCATTACATTATTTAGAAACCAAGTATTGTAGGAGCTCACCTACTTAGACAAACACAGTTGTATATAAGTATATTCCTGATTCAGGATGATTCATCCAGCCTCCTAGGGATTCTCTGTCTCTTGGTCCCTGCTCAGAGCACCATTGGAGTGGCAGGCTAGCATACTAAACTGAAGTATTGCTGTCTAGTAACAAAACAGTCTAACAATTAAGGCAGGGATGGGCAGATAGTCTTTTCAAAGCAATATACTGTAATACTGTAGCAATTTTTGAAGTTCTCTGTGAACTAAAAGTTGACACACTTCTGAAACATTTAATTCTCTGGAAGTAATTTCTCTACCTGAAGCTTCTGAGTGGCTCCAGCCCGAGTTCCAGTTGGGTTTGTTCTTCTAGCATCCATATTTCAAGAACCGCTAATTTAACTTCATCCCTTTGTGTTTCTGCCTGTGTGTTGTAATGCCGCATGTTGATTTCAGGGCCTCTGCATACTGGGTAAGCACTCTGACGAGCTACATCCCAGCCCCTCTGGCTTATTAAATAGTGGCCTTGTGCTGCCCTTCTTACTGAAAAGGACCTCAGCAAGGATGTTTCACCCAATAATGGAATCTGACTCATTCAAGATTTCCTGAACCAGGTGTGAAGGACAAGAATGGCCTAGTAGCAATGGAGATCACTGAGTGTGGGCCATTTTTACATAAGGAGAGGGACTGTGCTCTCTCCCTGACGTCTGTCCCCTCATTCATCTTGTCTGCCTTTTGGTTCATAATCAAGTCTTTCGATCACAGTCACACTCATTCTTACTGTGTCACACCATCCTGAACTTTGTGTCATTGCCTTTGGAAATAGCATTAGAGTGTAGCAGGGCCAGGCTGCCGCAGGGCCAGGCTGCCAAGTGGCAGTATTGCCTCTCAGTGGCAACAGTGTTACTGAAAACCACAATATTTGCCCCCTGGAAGGGCAGGAGGCACTCTTTGGACAGTTTTAACTGTTGAGGAAGGAGGCAGTATCTCAGTGCCAGCTAGGGTCTCAGGGCACTCGGCTCATCTGTCTCTGAGTTGGCACCTGTCATTGATGTAACTGTGTTTAAATCAGTTGCCCAGTCACAAAAAATAAAAATAAAAATCAGTTCCTTACCTGTGGCTTCCATAAACCACACACCAAAGGGCAAGACTGCAACGACGCTCACACATTTCTTATCCTGTTCTTTTAAGAAGGTAATTTAAAATTTAAATTTCATCATTTCGACTTCCTAGCATGAGATTTCACATGGAATCTTTTTTTTTTTTTTTGAGGCTGCAATTAAACAACAGTTTAATTTGCTTGTTCCCACATCTTCAAGGAGAAATCTGCCGTAAAGCAGAACCATGTGCTGTTGGCTCTTCCTTACCTGGTTCATACAAGTCTGATTGTGTGCAAGAAGCCATTTGTGAAGAAAATGAAAACCTTTGATTATTGATCAATGATAGTCATCATTTTATGCAGACTTTGCAGCCAAGCACCAAAAGAATCATCCATCAACTTCCAGGAAGTTGTCCCAAACCCAGTAAAGGTGCAATATATAATTAAAGTTTTGATGTATTAATTAGACAATCCGAGAGCTCACTTGAAGATAAAAGGACACCAGATGTGTCAGAGAGAAAAAGTTGACGTGCTTTAGATAAAATTTAAAATCAAAAGCCTTCAAAATCGCCTTATGCTCTATTATAGCAGAGTGATTGCTTACTTCAAAGTCTCCCTGACAATTTAACATATTCAGTTTGATCATCTGGGCTTAGATTTTTTTTTCTTTTTTTGCCCTTTCCTTATCCCCACATAGTTTTTTGAGACGATAGAAGATACAGTGCATCAAGTACCAGGCAGTGGCTTCCTGTCAGGCTCCTGGTTTTGAGGGTCAAACCTCATTTATATTTAGCTCTCTTGTTTACAAGATGGAAAATGTCCTTTCATTTTTATCACTCTGGTCCACTTAGGTCAAGCTTTTAACACGAGCAAAGGCAACTTATTAATATTTATAAGGTGTAAAAATTTATTGACTTTTTTTTTTAAAAAAAATAACATCTCAGTAAAATCTCACTTGCCTGGAACCTGGTACTCAGTCTGTGGTGACATTCTCTCTTCTTTGTACTCACTGTGGATACAGAAGTGGTTTTCCTTCCTGCTGGGATGTATTGATGGAGAATAATGAACTTAGCATTTGCAGGGAGCTTGTGTGTGGTGCCCGTTCATCCTTGGCTGATATAAGCCCTTTAAATGCAACAGCTCCTTCTCCTTCCTCCCATCTGTGACATGCAAAGGAAGGGACAGCCACTGTGCTTTCTTAGCACCGAGGTGGCTTAGCCTTGCCTTTAAGGTCTGATGGGGCTGGGGGTATCCAGTGTTTTAGATTTTTTTTCTCACCTTCCTATTTCTCGTTTCATTTCTAATTCACTTCATAAATAAGAGAGCTGTTCTTCTTCTCTTAGCTCTTCCAACTAAGGTTTTTTAGGTCTAGTTTTTCAGACCTACATCTTCCAAGAGGAAGGAACTTGGTGGTGTAAAGAGGGAAGCCATCCAACAAACATCTCAATGTCTCCATGCCTTTGTTTGTCATTACTGGTCATTGTTGTGTTCAGCATTGTGGGTTTGATTTTCCTTTTTTTTTTTATCCAGATCCCCCCACAACTATCCCTCCTCCCACAACAACCACCACCACTACCACCACCACCACCACCACCATCCTTACCATCATCACAGGTATGGTACCTTCATTGCCATTGGAAATGTCCTGAATGTATATTGTCTTTTTGGTATAGTCAAAAAGAAGACTAGTTGTTCCCTGGAAGGCCTCTGAGCTTAACTGTTCCTCTACTTTGGAACTCCAGAGACACTCAATACTATGTTCTTGAATTGAGTCTTAAGGACCCAGGAAGAACCTTAACATTTGAGCTGTTAGCAGATCAGATGCTGGCACCTTAGCATGAGGGAATTCTTTACGAAGCCATCACTACTCAAAGCAAAATCACTAGGAAAATGGCAGCCTGGCTACTAGAGAACCTACCAGTAGCTTCCGCTTGGCCACAGCTGGTGAGATGGTAAGTACCATGGCCTGGATCACAAAATGCCCTGGTCTAAATTTCATCTTAATCCACACGAAGGAAATATGTGCACCCAGTTTCAGAATGCCTACATGGGCCACACTTGGGAATGCACCGTCAGTCATCTTCCCTCTTCTGACAGGTGCCTGAGGGCATGGCGGCTGCACAGGCCTCTTGCTGCCTGAGAGATTGCAGGAATTAGGTGGCATCATTGTCTTTTCTAAGCGGAGCACCACCTCTTTTTTATATATATATATCCTCCCTCCTCATCCTGGTGTCCAGTGGATCTCAAACAGTTTGATGTTTCATGACTGGAAGCCTTGGAGTTTCTTCTGGTGTAGCAAGATAGGACAGTGCATGCTTGTACCATACTAACTCAGTGTGCAGGGCTTCCTTAGAGCAAGCCTTCCCTGACTGCCATTTCTAGGTGTCCACTCTAAAGAAAGAAAGAATCTCTTGCGAAAGCGACTTTGCCCCTTAGGAATGTTACCTGACAAGTGTCTGAGGTTCCTTTGAACCATGAGTGCTGTCATTGCATCCCTGGACCCCTTGGTACACACTGAATAGCTCACTTGGTGCTCTTCCATGTTTACATCTTTAGCACCCAAGATCTAGCAGCCGCCTCCTAGGATCGCGTTGATTTTCTGGAAACATTGTGTTTTCCATTTGCTCAAGAGATGATGAGATGACAAAAAGCAAAGTGCTCCCTGAGAGAGGGAGGCCTCATCCAAGATACGGGATGGATTGTCTAATCCAGGTTTTCTTCATCTTTCAGCTATTACAGTGGGACAAAGAACTCTACCATAAGCCACCATTGAGGGGTGTCCTAGACACTGGTTACAAACACATGTGTGTCTGTACTGAACGTTAACCCTTCTGAAAATCCATCAATTGGTGTGCTATCTTGCTCCAAACCTGGCTCCCTCTAGAGAAGCTGCTTCCTAATTCTTGTCTGTGTCTCTGCTGGACCTCTCTGTCAGTTCCCTTTGCTTCTTAGTGAACTCAGTTTGGAGCATAGTGGACCAATGCCTGGCATCTTCTGTATCACTCATTAGCATATGGAAGATGTTCCTCCTCTGTCGGATGTCCACAGCAGCTGTACTGCCACTGCTTCATCCTAAAAATTCAGTTCCTTGCCTCTTGTCTCGTTAGTAAAACTGAACTAGGTGTGTACTGCTTTATTTTGTTTTGTATGCCTGGCATTGCTGATGTGGAACTGGGGGCCTCTAGAATGCTATGCCAGGAAAGCACTGTATAGTTGAGCTATATCCTCCATCCTTTAGGCATGTGCCTTTCTTACCAGGTTTCATAGTTTCATGTGAAAGACCCTTTGGATGTCAGAATAAATAACCAAACTGTGCAGATATCATTAACAGTGTGTTCGTCTTTGGAGAACTATGTCACAGCTTTTATACCTCCTGTGGTAGAAGATTCCATTTAGGTATCTCTAAGGGTTTATATCTGAAGGCGATAAAGCCCTCTCTCCTTCTGTGAATAAAGTCCCCATTCCTCTTGAATGTGGAGCCACACTTTTCCTGTGTGACTGGCTTCATCCCTTCAGCGTTCCCTGACTCTTCTCCATCACCACAATCCGTCTCACAAGTCACCTGAGTCGCTCTAAGTCGCAGCTCTTCATCCTTTGCTCCCGAGGACCTCCTTCTCCTGCGAGGGCCTCAGACATGTGCAATTCACTGTGATCACAATTCTGACTGCAGAGGCACTGTCTGGAAAGAAAGTCTTAGAATAAATGACACCATATTTCTGGCCACCTCAGAGAAGACTTTAATTGGAACATGTCTACTTCTGGCTCTACCACTGGCCTCTCAGTTCAAAATAACTTCCGATGATCTCACAGGTGCACTTTGGTCTGTGGGTGTTAGCGCTCGCCTGCTTTCTACCACACCAAATGCATCTGTGGTAACAAATGCCCAGCTCTTCACTAGCACACCCAAGAGTCATTAAACTAAAATCTCTACTAAAACAACAGTGTGGCATCCATCCCCTTAATGCATGTGATCTTTCAGGCTTACTGGGTCTTAACAAGCCGCCTTCTATATATTTATCTTGCCCAGAAAGCAACTTGTAGAATTGAACATTTGCTCCTTTCTCCAAACAGATTAAAGGTTATGGACTTGAATGGTTCTCTGTCCCATTTTAAAGGTCCAGACTATTCTCTAGGTTTAGATTGGTTCCTAAAGAACCTTATATGGAATCCTGACAAATGGATCGCTAAATTAATTTCCACTCCTCCCTCCTGCACTGTTTGGTCCGTTTACAGCCACCATTAGCCTTAAAAGCTTCAGTAGCCGAATCTAGCGACAAGAACGTAAAGCTGGGGCTCTAAAAAGAAAAAGAAGCATTCGTAGTCGTCTATTTCTTTCCTCCTAGTCAAATGCAATAACTGAAAGCCATTCCCCAGGTCAGAGTTTCATTACTAGAAAAATGTACAAATGCAATAGAAAAATATTTTTTAGGCTCAAAAGGTCCTGGTTGATTTCTGATTCCTCCTAAAGAAGCATTGCAGCGCTATCTTTTATCTTCCCTGCCCAGGGTAATGGAATTGTTCTCTTTGTTAGGAAGGCATTCTGTCCCTGGTCATCTGGCTCTCAAAACATACTGCAGCTCAGCTCCATCCTGGAGGCACTTGAAGGAATCTGATACCCCTCTAACACTTCTTTGTCCCCTCTGCTCTCCCCCTTTGCCAAATCTTAGATTTCCTACTCTCCTAGGAGAGCAGTGGCCTCTGCCAGCTGCCCTCTCCACTTGAAGCAGATCTAGTGACATGTCAGACACACCAGAATGGCAGCCCTATCTAGGGAAACATCTGCATGTTTCTGCAGTGTGAAAAGAGTCTTCAGGCTGAGTATGGTATTCATACCTTTAATCCCAGTGCTTGGGAGGCAGAGGTAGGCGGATCTCTGTGAGTTGGAGGCCATCCAGATCTACATATGGGAGGGTTCATCTCAAAGACAAAGTAGGGGTGGGGATGGGGAGAGAGAGAGAGAGAGAGAGAGAGAGAGAGAGAGAGAGAGAGAGAGAGAGAGAGAGAGAGAGAGAGAGAATATTCAGTATCTGTCTGAGAGGTGAAGCTTTACAGACATTGACATTATTCTAAGGCCTCTCCACATTTAAAAAAAAACAAAACAATTTGAGGATGGAATTGGGTGAGAAGCCATTTAGAGCCTCACTGGCATTTGCCCTAAGGTGCAAAGGTATATCTCTCATCTTTCCTGCTAGTTGATGTTATGATTGGTTCTGTTTAGCTCTTGGCTTTGAGAGTCCCCCTTACCCCCACCCCTTAGTGTTTTATTTTTTTGTCATATCAGGTTTTCCATGGAGTTTCTTCATTTGGGAGAGTGTGTGCCACAGCATAGGAGCGCAAACCAGATGAATCGTTTGAACTTTCTTCCTAGTCAACTTCATGCTTCAGGGATAGTAGCAGCTCCTGTCTCTGTGCCTCTGTGCTTGGAGATAGCTTTAGCCTCTTCCTCTTAATTGGGTCAGGCTTCCTTCCTGACGTTTTCTTGGGAAAGCATTCTGTGTTTCTCCCTTTAATTAACCTGGATATTGTATTGTTCCTGCCTGGAGTCCTGACTTGGGTGCTTGCTAAAAAGCACCCATGACAAGTTCTCAGCATTCAGCGTCTGTCATCTGCACCTCTAACAGTTTAGATACAAAATGCAGGCCAGGAGATAGATGCTTGACCTGAAGGTCACACTATACACACAACTGCCATAAATTTTAAAATTTTTTTTTAAAAAAAGCTTAGAATAAGAATGAATAGCTATAGGGCCAGATTGTGAGACACATTTAAAAATCCTTTCATAAGAATGAAGTAGGTCATTTCTAAATGAGTTTTTCTCTCTCTTTTTTAAAAGCATGTATTCAATTAAGTATTTTGTATTTCTTAGAAAAGAAAATAGCAAGGTTTCTCTTATGGGTGTCAAAGCACTCAGAAGCCACTTAACTTGGGAGGAAGTGACTCCTAGCCTCAGGCCCTTATATTATTTGGGTTTTCACTGTTTGGTGTCATAGGCTCTTGTCCATGTTAATGTGAGTTAGATCCTGTACAGAAGACATACACAGCCTTTTTCTTCAGTGGTGTTTGGAGAACATGCCAGTAGGGGAACCTGCACCAAGTATACATGTGTCTTAGGTGTAAAGGAGGGACACATGTGCTTGACACCAGGTCAATGGAGTGGCCATCTAAACAGTAACAGCTTAGCTCCACATAAAGCTCTCAGTTCCCCGATGATTCCAACCCTGAGCTGCTGGTATTGGCAGGGCACAAAGGCTATTTGCTGGTCTGCATTTAGGTATGCATTCGGCAAAGATTGAGCACCCATAGTATGTGTAGAAAGGACTTTTTAAACCCCATCCTGTGTGGTTGTGTGCTGTCATGCAATGGAGTGTTCATGTCAAAGGTAACAGGTGCTACAGGGCAGCATCACAGAAGTGGTCTTTGCTCAGTGCCATCGAAGCATGGATAGAATGTAGATACAGAAACAGACATGAAGAACCAAAAGTGCGTCTAGCATCTCTCTTCAAGGCGCGTGTATTTATGTCGCCTAGAGTGAGCCCCCCTGTTCCCTAGGAAGCATGCATCCTTCATCCTAGACTGTTTCCTGAGTTGCCTTCTTCCTGAGATTGCCGTCTAAG